TGCTGTTATGCTGCCATTATTTGGTGGATATAAGGTAGAATAATGGCAGATTTTTTTTCTGTTATTTACCTATTATTCATTCTTTATTTATTCATTTGACCTATGCAAATATCTCCAAATGCAAGATTATTTTAATAAAATATTACATGGAAGTATAAAATCATAGGCTCAATGTTATCAACTAAATTATTTTACAGCAGGTATTCAAAGCACCTAGCATGTTAAAGTAATAAACCGACTTATTAAAAAAGGCATTAGAAGTACTCTTTTTTTGCATAATCTTCATGAACATATACAAGGTTTTTTGAACAATGAAGCTAAATAGGCATGCCATAATAGCTATATGAATTTTTTATCTACTGACCAATTGCTATCATTCATTGAATTAATATTTCCTAAAGTCATTGAAATGTTAAAATTATATGTAACTTCTCATATATTGGCTGTACAACAATAACAAATTGCTAGATCACTTTTGTATAGGGCACAATTACAAACAAAGAAAGATATTCTGAAATTACAGGTCTAATAATTTTTTTTTGTTTGTAGTTTTGATGAATTTATAGCTTTAAACTTTAATTTGTTTTTTTTTTATTGTTATTATTATTAGAAAAATCTTCAATTGGATTGTAATAATGGCTTTTTAAAGGATCATCTTGACTGGCCACAAATTTTGATCATTGCTCTTATAAAAGATATTGAACCAAGTGATGTAATTTAAATTTGGGAGATTATGTGTTTATCAAATGCTTACAAGCATTATGTCATATTACTAAATGATGGTGGGTACTATGTACTTGTATAGCAATAGTCAATCATGAAATTATATATGCACATTTTTTTTAAGTGATGATGAATACTAAAATGGTGAGGTTTCACATTGGGTTAATAGCAATACATTGGTATTATGATAATCAGCAAGATGTAAAACTTGAAGATTTACAACTGCAAAATTTTGAGATTTCAATGAGTTTTAACAACCATCTACTAACATAATTGTTCCAGACTTTCATATTATTGAACAGATTAGAAACACTAATATGCATACTGTAAAAAATTAACAATTGGCAAATAGGAAAATCAGATATGCAAATGGATTTGGAAAAATAAAAAAGGCACTCAATAGTGCTTTAGATCTTGGATGCAAAGAAGAGTTGGTTAATGTTATGACTTGCTTTATTAATTAGAAAAAGGCCATGATGGAAAATATCAACAACCAACCTGTTGAATTTCAACAAATAACTATGATGGATCCCTTAGTTATATACATTGTGGATAACTACTGACCAAGAGATTGAAAAGTTCTTCCAAAAGTCATAGGTACAAAGAATTAGCACATCATACAACTAGTCTTTAGAATTCAAACTTAGAAATACCTTTATCAAATATAGACTTGAATAGTCATGTTATAGATATTAATACTAAAGAATTATGCCATGAAAGCAAAAAAAAATATGTATATAATTTATGTGATGGGACAGGACATAATGTACACACTTGTAAGTAGCAAAAATAGTAATATGATATAATATGACATAGTTATAGCACACTCAATTATGATGCATAATTATGAATTAATAACTATTTAATTACTTATATTCTGTTTGAAAATAGGTAGCAAGCTATCAAAGTCATAATTATTAATTGTGACTTTGATAGCTTAGTAATATTGTGCATTATGTTAAAATTAACTTTAAGTTTAATTGAGTTAAAGTAGAGCCTCTGTTAGGGAAAGGTAGGTATTAGTGGATTATAACTTATTTTATTTGTTAGATAATATATGAGGTTACATATAATTGATGTTAGATAAGTATTAATGAATAGGTTTTGTTTGCTCTTGTATAAATTTTTTATTTACAATTTTTTTTTCTTAGATCCAATAGTTTATTATTAAGCTTGACTCACAAAATATACATTTTCCTCATTAAGTCACCAAAGCTGGGTTTTTTTTTAGATATATGCTTCACAAGACTGCTGCCTAGCTGTGAGTGAAACGAGCAGCATATGGCAACTATGCTAGTTCACAGTAAGTTAAAAGATTTTAGTTTCAAAGGTTATAATAATATATAAAATGATGTAATACTTACATTTGATTTGAATTATTCTTAGATGGTTTTATTTCACTAAACTTATTGACTTGTATATAATTTAGTGATTTATGATTTAGTTAAAATTTTTGTGTACATGAAGAAAAAGTACAATATGTATGTTAGTTTAGTATTATATTAAAAATTTTGTACTACATTTTTCAACTATAAAAATTTTATCGATATTGGTATGCACTTGTATTTATTTAGCTAGTTATTTTATAAAGTTTAAAATGTTATTGTTCAAAGCAAATGAGAACTTTATGGTAGAGCTATTAACCATTAGATTCCAGTAATGTCATCATTATTAACAAGAGAGTTAGTCCAATAAGACTAATTTGCCAGGTCATATGACTATGATGATTGTCACTAAGGGTTATAGTTAGAAACATTCTATAATAATTTTCATAATTTTATTAATAAAATTATAAAAATATTATTATTCTCAAAATTTTATTAATTAATTCTAATTTTATTCTTTAAATAACTTTGTTCTATACATAAAAATATATTATATATATTAGCATATATTTATTTTTTTATTTTTAAAATTTAAAAAAATAATACTTAATTTTAGATTTTTTGATAAAAAAATCTAAAACTAATGTTTTTAGTTTAGTTTAGATCATGAACCAAGTTTATTAAACCTAAACTAATGCAACTCATCAGAATCAAAAAAACTCTTCCTGCTGATCCCTTTTACCAAATTCGGCAAAAATAAACATCTGAGAAAAACTCAACTATCACTATAGAAAACATACTTTGCATGGCTAACAAAAAAGTTTCAGCCAAGGAAATCACTGTGAGTTATATAGAATAACTTTACAAAGAGAACACAGTCTAGCCAACTTTTGCTAGAGAATAGAAAACTTTTACTGAAAATTTTGGGAAATTGGAAATTTGGAGTTGATCCTAGAAAAACTGAAGATCAGAACACCTGACCAAACAACAACATCAACAACACTAGTACAATTAGGTAAACAAACAAGTTGCGTTCTGGTAAGTAAACAAACAAGTCACGTGTCTTTTCAGAAAACAAATATACAGTAGAATAGCCAAAACAGGATAAGCTAGATATGGATTATCAACAAACAAAGAAGAATCTAGAAGCAAATAATGAAATCGACATAGAGAAATTGTACAAACTGGGGTTGTATTACTTCATTAAGGGGTATGCAGAAAAAAACTTAAAATACATAGAAAGCGATACCTTAACCATAGCACTTGAGATGACAATGCCACATGACCCAACAGAAATTGAACAAATTGCAAGAGCCATTTCTATTAGAGACCCAAATCATATAACAGAAATGGATATGCTTATGTATAGGCAGATAATTGAAGTTTTGAAAGAGGTTAAGATGTGAATGCCAGACTATACAATTAGAGGATAGGCAGAGAAAGCAAGAATGACTTATCAAAATCCAGAAGCAGTTAAGTATCTAATGAGCCTCAGTAAGGAAGAAATTCAAGAAGAAAAGAACAAAATAGAAGGAATTAAAAAGCAGGCCAACAACCTAGATGAAATGCAGATAACAAGCAATAAGAAAAGAAGTCAGGAAGAAATAACAAGAGAAGCAGACAAAGATAAGGTTGGGAAAATAGCATTACAATTTCAAACCTTAGACATTACATCAAATAGAAGACACAAAGGACATAAAAATCAAACCAAAAAAGAAATCGTAGGTCAGCAGAAAGAAACAACAGGTGAATTGAAGGAGAAGAAATGCAAAACAGATAAAGAAGCACCAAGAGACAAAATTATTAAGGATGTGCAAAAAGAACTAGAAAGAGTAACAAAAGTGCTAGAAAATTTTGATGAAAAAAAAGAAGGAAAAGAGTATACAGAATTCAGCGAAAGATGTGCACCACTCGAAAACAGCCTGTGGGCATCACAGAACCGAGACTGTGACAGAAATGAGTCATTTAAAGCAAAGTTACCAACTTACAAGTTATCAGGTGACTCAAAAGAAGAGAAAATTAAATATACAGAGTGGATACTCAGGAAGAACAAGCACATCAAATCGGTTAAAGAAGAATTCATAAATGGCAACAGCTGGGTCATAGTCAATTTTGACTATGAGTATGGCATGCTTACAACAATCGAGAAGATGAAAGAAAAGGAAGGTGATTGGTTCAGTCTTATACCAGAAGAGTGAGAAATCATAAGAAGTGAAAAGACTTGGAATAGTAAAAACAAAAGAAGAAATGAAGGCAAGAAAGGCAAATAGAAAATCAATCAAGAAGAAGAGAGAAAAACTAGAGACAACCAATCAGAAGCTAATCCAAGCAGAAGAAACTCTGTAAGCACAGAGGAAAATAAATATGGAAAAAGAAACCTATACCGAGTAAATGAAGCAAGAACAAGAAGCCCTAGTTGCCTAACAATCTGGGACTTGCCTGTAGGCATTAACTATAAGGAACTCGAGTATATATGCAAGAATTTCCAAAATGCAAGAATAGTAAGAATTAAAAGAACAAAGTACAAGGCCTTAGTGGTAATAGAGTACTTCAAGAAAGAAGAGCAAGAAGTTCCCTGGTCAATTCCATTTGATAACCACAAACTAGCAAGAATATCTTCAGGTAATGAAGATTATGAACAAAGAGACTTACAAAGTCAGTTCACAACCAAGCTTTTGAATATACTCAGAGGAGCATCAGAGGTTCTCTTACTTCGGTGTCTAAGAAGCAAAGGGGCAAAAGCAGTTTACATTCCAGCCAACAGAAATGGAAATCAGAGAAACTTTGCGATTATCTCATTTGCAAGTCAGGAAAAAATGGAGATAGCTCAATCGAGGCCAATAAAATATAATAACCACACAGTATATTGGGAAAATTATATAGGTGAGAAAATAATACAGAGAAAGCAACATAAGGAAAGATGCACATATGGGAATAGCGATATTATAAATATCTATGAGAATGAGCAAGATCAAAAAGTAGAAACATGGCTTAGAGATAATGAGAAAAGAAAGTGAAACGACAAAGATATTAAGAAGGAGAAAACTCAGAATAGGCT